ATTCGCCCCTGAGTTTGCCTCTGTGCTCTGTTTTCGTTCCCAGGGCGGCTTCCCCTGGGAGGACCGTGAACATGCGTGACCCAAGAGAAAAATTGATCAGGGCGAAGCCTAAGTAAGGCTTTTCAATGCAGTAACACCTCCAAAGCCTGCCTTTTTAATAAGGTCCCAGTTTGTTCTCCGTTTGTTTGTGCTCACGAACATAAGGACTGGTCGCCTGCTTTGAGCAAAGGCTCGGGTCGGGCGCCTTGCGGGCCGCTCACAGGTCTGCCCGGGAACGGTGCTGGTCCCCTCGTTTACCCGGGGAGGTGCGGCAGAGGAGGGTCTCCAGCGGCTCCTCCCTGAGTGCTCCGTGTTAAATCATCACACTCCCATTCGTTGCGATTCGCTTACTCTTTTGTAGATGAGGAAACCGAGTCTCAAAAGTGTTGAACTCATCTTCATTCAATAAGAACAGGATTCAGACTCCAGTCTTTTTGACTATAAAGTAGTACATCGAGGAACGTGCTTGATTGAAAGTTCCTGTTTTCACAGTGCAGAGCACTGTTAGCCCTAGATGCAGACAGGAAAGGCCTTGGGACCTGTGTAGTGACCAGTCCGGTCCCCTCATTCGGCAGACTGGAAACTTGATATCCAGAGGATCCTGCCAGGGTCGCTTGGTTAGTGACACAGTGGAAATTGTGTGGAGGTGGAAGTGCCTCGACATCTGTCCCCCTGGACTTCATTCTGCCACTAAGCTGAGCCAGCGCCAGTCATGTTGAGGTAGCAAAATACTGCTGCTGCTCATAATAATGAGATGATGTAGTTATCATTTATTGAGCCATTTCTCTTGCCACTGACTATTGTATTTTATAAATCTCGTTTAATTTAATTCTCATGATAACTGAGGCAGGTAGTGATATCCTGTTTTCTACCATGGGTCACTGAGGTTCATATTATAATTCATTCAGCTAAAGTTACACGGCTAGTAAGTGACAAAGCTTGAGTTCTAACCCAGGTCTCTGACTCCAATGCCTGTGCTTAACCAGTGTCTAAATATGTTCTTTTCAAAGAGCAAGAAAGCAATAAGGCATTTTAGGTGTCTATCAGCGTTTCTAATGTCCATCAGGATTTGTAATGTCCGTCAGAGTTGATATGTTCCATTATCTGGAAAATGCTTGTGGCTTGTGGGCAGCCACGTGAATGAAAGTGTGTGGTTTGTGGTCTCCAACACTGACTGAGTCTTTGAGGCTGCTCTACATTCTGTAGAGCACACACTGAGTCAGCACACACTGCCTTCACTACAGACATTTCAAAACTTCAGCCTGTTCCTTAAATCCCAATCCTGCCATTCCTACCTTGCAACCAGCAGATGACTTGGAGAAAACTAAAGCCATAACTGGGATGTTTCTCACCTTTATGGCTGCAGACTTAGACGCTTGTCTGCAGCCACCCTTTCCTGCCTTCCTGTTGCCTCAAAAGTAGGTGTCCTTTCTTGTCTATGCTCTGACTCTGGTATCCTTCCTCCCTAAAAGGGAGCCTTGTTCAGTCATAGCCTCTCTTTGCTGTATTTTCATCCTTTCCCTCTCATGGTTTCTTCGTGTTTGTGTTGGGCAATGCTCACCTCTCTTCCAT